AGATTGGTCCATTTCAGAATAATATATATGATATGTTTTATAATGATTGATCATGAAAGTGTTCTCAAAGCTGGTAAAGGTGCAGCTAGTTTGAATGACTTTGTATACTGCAGGGTAGCTTGCGGATGTACCTCTGAACTGTAGAGGAGAAGAAGAACAAAGTAGAAAAACATTGAAATACTTAAATATAGTACAAGTATCTCAAAATTGTACCCACGTATAGTACTTGTTGAGTTTATGAACTTAGTTACTTTACACCACTGGCTATACAGATAGAAAGACTAAGCCTTGCACAGAGGCATGAAAATACATTTTCAAAATGCTCAACAGTGCTGCCAAAATGATAAACTGACTGCTACACAATTAAAATAAATGCGTTTATATATTTCTATTAGATGTGATTCTTTGGCATTTCTGTAATTACCTGCTACTTTAGTTGTTCTGACTGCTAACATCCTGTTATTCCTCATTTTAAAGCCGATATTCCGTGGGGTCGGGGGGCTCGGATCCTTGTCACCTTTTTCATACCTGATGAGTTTGCATCCCTGACTACAGTTGCTTCAGCGTGTAGAAGCTAGTAAGCCTACTATTTGATTTGCTTTACATAGGCACAACATATTTCATATGCAGACCTTATTTTCCTGTTCCATGTTCAAATAAACCATTTTCAGTGGTCATTTGTTTTTGGTCATGGAAAATTAGGTAAAGGTCATTGAGAAGTCATGGAAAATCATTGGTGAAAAAGTGTATGAACCCTGTACTATATAATCTACATTTACTTTTCTCTCGCTTAATTTGAGGTTTTGCCATAGCCAATATAATGCTCATTGTTACAATATTGTGTATTGTTTAAGTATTACTATTGTTAATTAAGGAATTGCAATAATGACTGAAAAAGTGATGACCTTGCAATTTTTCGTGTTTTTATTTCAAGTTTGGAACAGTCAATTAAGATGTATGTGTCTTTGTTATTAGACTCATGGAGAAACCCTCGATGTGATCCTGAAAGGAATGCAGGTTGGACTGTTGATTGGACATGAAGGCCCTCTGCTTGACTCATTTCCTCTGGAAGTCTTCAATGTGGCTGTGGTGGTAGAAGAGAAGATCATCCTATCCGAGATGTGCCCACAGGCTTCACCATGTTAATGGGGGCAATCGACTGCCTCAACCTCGAGTACCCCCGCAACATGAAATAATATTTTGAGTTCCTTCAAAAGGTCATCATGACCATCAAACCAGACCATTGCTCCACAAGAATCCATGGACTCAGAAATAAACTGCTGAGATATCACCTCTAAACAAATGACTATGTCATAGCTCCTGGAAGAAGGGAGTTTCTGTTTTGGACTGTTAGTCTACATATTGTTCTTGTTTTCAGCAGTGTAGTTTGTAAAGTGCATGTCAGATATGAACGCAGCTGCTGAGATTGTTAACAAATGAATGCACATTTCAAGCCCTTATTGAAAGGAACCTGTTTTTGGGGTCTCCTACATTGTTCAACTAACATTGTTCATCTATTGTTCACCCAACAAACATAGTTTGTGTATCCAGCAATATAGTTTGTACAATGCCACAGTTTGGCACTCTACGCAGCTCGGGTATGGTCAGCAGGCCAAAAAAAAGAAGACAAAGAGGTGGTAAACCCTTATGTTTTCCTGAACTAAATGTTTGAAAATAATCTTTTTAGTCATGAAAGTTTATTGTATGGTTCATTCTCATTTTGCCATTTCCATTCCTTAATCATTACCAGACATTGGAACAAAGACCCGTTTGTGTTACAAACCCACATGTGCCAAACCCCTCACCCACAGGAAGACAAAGGACCTCTTGACCTGTGTCCTCCTCACATTACAGGCAGGAGCATATGCGACTTAACGAGACACAAAGAGATCTCCTTAAAATATTCTCTGACAGACACCAATTTGTTTCCTATTGCCTAAACCTCCAGGGCTGTACACAGTTTAATACTGTCAACTTCGAATTTTGGGAAAAACGAAAACGTCTTTTAAAACTACAATTCCCAGTAGAGACGTGCCATAGAGAACATGTTGCGAAACACAATAGCCAGCATGTGTAGTTTTCGGGGGGCGTCCGAGTCCAGTTTTGAATAGTTTGCCGTGGTTTCGTTCCATTTCAAAGAGCTTGAAGCTCGGCATAACCTTGGCGCACTGCCACTCCAACATCCAATCCCAGAGCTTGAAGATGAATCACAGGGTTTGTCGCAAAGCGGACAGGCGTCGTCACAACAATAGCTGGGGATTGTGGGTAGTGTAGTCTCTTTGGCGCTCCACATTTCAGAGAAAACAAGTTGTTTCTCAGAATTGAAGAGGAAAAACACAAAAGCATTGTACACAATTTAAACCTATCAATGTCGTTAAATTAACAAAGATAATATGGTGTTTGAGTAGTGCAGATATCACTGTCAAATCAATCGACAGTAAGGAGAATACTTACTTCCGGGTGTACAATTCTCCGTTATCCAATGGGAATGGACGCTCACATTGCCTTTTAAGAGCTGCCGACATAAATGGATGCGGTGCTTCCATGAGCGTCAAATACCGCCGCCGATGGGAATACATTGCAATCAGTTGAAAGCTCTTTGCGTCCGTTTATGAAGCTGAAGGAGCCTCGGCGCGTCACAACTGGACGCCACGGGACCCTGACCAAGCGTCGCTCCTGGACGCTTAGGGAGTGAGAGTGTGTTGACTACCACAACCCCCAACCTCCAGGCTAGACTCTCTAATATACCTGCTGCAGAGGAATTTGAGTTGGATGCCCACAAGTCTTATATTTTGAGGATTACCTGACAGGGACACCACAGTATGTGAGAATGCAGAGCTGTGTGTCAGCATGTGTGTTACCTCCCTTCCTGTACACAGTCTACAAAACTAAAGGAAGTGGATATTAATCAGACCACAAGATGATTCTCAAAAGTCGGTTTATTTAAACACATGTAGTCAGACCAAGAGTCTTTACGGACACGGCTTATAATGTAAGGATTTATGTAACTACAGTTTATCAAAGAAATATAAAACTTTAAATCAAATTATAATAAGAATACAAAAGCATAATAAATATGGTTATCAAATCAAATCAAGTTTTATTTATAAAGCACATTTAAAGTGCTGTACATGTAATAAAAGCACACTACAATAACATATGAAAGAAAAGACAAGAAATGTACAACATTAATATAAAGACTAAACACAGGAAAATGTCAGGTATCATGCTCAGCTCTGACTAGAAGGCCAGAGAGAAGAAGTGTGTCTTCAGTGAGGATTTAAAAACCCCTAGGGTCTGGGCCGACCTCACATGGAGGGGCATGTTAGGGAATAATTCTCCTGGACTCCTAGATATCTAACCTTTTTGCCCTTTGACGTTTATGACCAACCCTGACGTCTGTTATCTCCTTTAAGGAATGGAAGGCTCCAGCTATATGTTGTTATTCCCAGTTTATGACCGGGCAACTCTCGGTCACAAATGGTCGATGATTGTGAGAACGCTGGAACATTTCCTTCTCTGTGTTTGTGGACTCCAAGGTGTAATCTTCGAGGCCATGAGGGTCAGACAAGTGATTAGTGTTCCCAGATGTTTAGGCTATCTTCAGTGTTCCCAGATGTTTACGTTATCTCCCCCAATATGTTGATTACTCTCTGTAAACCATTTAAAAGGTCTAGCAGGAGAGAGGCGCTGCAGAATTGACGTGGCAACCCTTCCGTGCAGTCAGAACCACTGGCTGTGCGAGTTGTGATGTGAATCCTCCGGCCGATACTCCTAAATAAACCATCAGTGTTTGACATCAAAGCTCCAACTCTCCTCGTGTCTCTCTGAGTCCTGACTCTCCATTGCTACAGAAGTTTCCCTTGCAGGGCAGACTGTTCCAGAGCCTAGGGCCAGCTGCTGCGAATGCTCAGTCCCCTCGGGTTTTGAGCCTGGTATTGGGCACTATCAGCAGCAGCTGGTCAGCAGACCTAAAAGCTCTTGCTGGGGTGTGGCGATGGAGGAGTTTGGCTATATAGGCCGGAGCCAGCCCATTTAGGGCTTTGAAAACTAATAAAAGGAGTTTAAAATCATTTCGGAACCGAATTGGAAGCCAGTGTAGTGAGGCCCGAATTGGGGTGATGTGGTCACGCTTTTTGTGGCCAGTGAGAAGACGCGCAGCTGCGTTCTGGACTAGCTGCAGGTGTCTAATTGAGGCCTGGTCCATACCCACATACAGAGCGTTGCAGTAGTCCAGTCTCGAGGTAACAAAGGCGTTAATAACCCTTTCTAGGTCGTTAAAAGATTTAAAAAAACGACTTGGTCTTGGCAAATAGTCTTATTTTTTTTTAAAAAGCAGGTTTTGACTACGGAGCTGACCTGCTTGTCGGATTTAAAAGCGCTATCGAAGGTCACTCCAAGGTTCATAACAGAGGGGAGGACGTTTTTGTTGAGAGAGCCCAGAATATCAACCGGAGAGGCTGACAATGTGATGTATCAAATCAGCATACAAAACATTAATAATGGAATGTGGAGACAAGAATTACGAAACCTCCACAAATCAATATCAGCTGAATAAAAAGTTCCTAGACAAACAAACAAACAGATACGAGCAGATGGTCTGCATTTGCAATTGTGAAGATGATGCATAGATTTAAAAGCAACTTAAATTAACTTATTGATTTTACCTTTTTCTTCTCACTCATGATTTGTAAATATTGTAACTAATAAAAATACATTAGTGAAAGTAAAAACATTAATGAAAAAGAAAAATGCCATTTGCACCCAGTATTTAAAGATGTAAAAGTTACAAATTCTATCGATAAAATGCAAATATCTATAGGGCCTTGCATAACATTTAAAACAAGAATAAAAAGAAAAACAATCTCTGTACCAACATGTAAATATGTGTTGGGAAAATACTGAATGTACTCTTCCAATATCAGAGTAGCACATGATAACAAGGCCCAACTGTAGCTGTGTACATGAAAGGATGTATGATTACAGAGAAGAGCGTCAGGACACACTGTTGTAGGCATATGATAGCTATGTGATTAACATGATGATTCAGTCTCAATGGAGATAGACATATGACAAGCATGATCATTTCTGACGTGGGTCTTAGCTAATCTAAACTAAACATTGAATACTGCTTTGAACCTGTATTCCTGCATCTTGTGACTGTGTAACACCCTCTCTTAAGCATGTGAAGGACACTTATGGGAACTAGTTGTACCAAATGCTCTGTATGTGATGATGACTTCCATAAACTTGACAGGATAATAAATACATGTATTCTGATATTGAAGCTCAAGCCGGTGACGAATGATATTTTTATAACAATATGTAATTATTCAGTTCTTCCTTAATTTTGTAAAACATTTTTTATGAAGCGAAAGTTTTTGCATTGTGTCATTGGTGATAAAGGGGACTCACATTATGCCAAGCTCCACATCCAAATGAAACAAAATTAAAATGGAAGAACCCAAAGCAAACAGATGAAATACAAATTCAGAAGACCAAGTAGTGTTACACTTCCTGTTATCCAAAATGATATACATTGTCAGGGAATAATTTTCCCTGCATGTCCTCCTTCGCCCTCTGACGCAGATGCCCAACCTTGGGCAACCACTATCTCCCTTAAGGAGGGGCTGCCCTAGCATTTTGTTGTTGTTACCAGTTTATGACCGGGCAACTCTCGGTCAGAGATAGTTATTGTTGTGGGACACCTGGAACACATCCTTCTCGGGGTGTAGATGACCGCGAGCCATAAGCGACAACAAATGTGATTCAGTTTCACCAGCTGTTTAGTCTATTGAAGAATGTTGATTACCCTCAGCGAACTATAATTAAAACCTCCTACCAGAGAGGAGAACCCTCAGAATTGATTTGGCATCTCAATCGTGTGATCAGATCGTGGCCCATGACATGTCTTGTGAATTCTCCGGCCGAAGCTCCAAATAAACTGTCAGCGTTTACCATCAAAGCTCCAGCTCTCCTCGTGTCTCTCTTGAGTCCTGTATCCAATTGCTTCAGAAGTTTCCCCCACAAACATCAGTTTAGACTAAGTTCCACATTTTTACCAAACTTTTGTATTAAGTTAGGAACATTCTATTTGTTTCATATATAATAACAATTGGTGTAATGAGAAAAAGGTCACAAAAACGTGTTTCTTAATAAGTGTTGCTACAATGAAGTGCCCCTTACTGTGCTATATGAGCCTTAAGCTTATTGTGAGCATCCATATATTTGGCAAGTTGCTGTGAAACACAGAAAGTGCTTTAATAAACATCCTGTAAGGCCCCAAACTGAATAGTAAGCAAAGTTGCTCATCGGGGGACATAAGGTCAACAAAGACTGGCAATGTTGTCAGGAAGCCGGCAGATTGAGGATTATAAATTGACGTGAAAAAATACCACATTTGTTAAATCTGTTAGTTGGATACTTATGACAAAGTGAAACAAAATGTAAAGAATAAATAGATGACTGTCTTTGCTGCAAATGTTCAGTTACTTTGTCATTTCTATTTGGTATCTCTTTGAAATAAATGAGTTTTTGTTGAAAAATGTTCCTTTCTTTGAACCTATACGATGCCTGAGTCACCAACGTACCACAGCAGGACAAAGGCTAGAGAGAGGAGCACTGTGCCTAGTAGGTCTCCAAGGGCTGTGAGGTAGGGTATTGAGTAACTGTCGGGGTCTTTACCCTGACGCCACAGGAAGTGGACCATACAGTCTGCTATGCAAAGCAGGCAGAAGACCTGAGAGATGGACAAAAGTGGTGTTGTGAAACAGTGATTAAGTGTGCAGAGGAAAAATTACGACATGTGTTACTTGTGACTCACCTGAATCAGGGAAGCAGACAAGAAGGCAACAGTGAAGAGAGCACTAGGCAAAGTGTGGCCTCCTTTTAAAAGGTGGATAGCGTGTAAGAAGACGATCTGACCGGGGATAACCAGAAGAAGAAGAACCTGAGCACATCGATGGTTTGCTCCTGCCATGACAAAGATAAACATCAGAGAGTGTGTAAGTGTGTGCTCCCTTCACTGTCAACCTTTAAGGTGCGTGTATGTTATTTAAATAAATAAAAAATCGATCTTTACCTGAACCAAAGAAAGTGCGGCAAGGGCTAAAACAGCCTTTACGGTCTTCAGGTACCTCTTTATGTGAGTAATTCAAATGCAGATTAGTGGAAATACGACTGGCCTGAATGGAGACGAGGTTCCCTCCAATACCTGAAAAGAAAGACAATGTAGAGAGCACTCATCTGACTTCACACAGCAACTACAACAAAGGGATCTATTTTACATTATACATTAGTACTTCCTGTAGACTGACTTTGTAAATTGACATAGTTCCCAGCGAGTTCACCTCCAAAATTCTAATTTGCATATTAAGAACATTTCTTGATAGATTCAAGGTAATGGTGTGTTTGGCAGCTGCAAATCTTGATGAAAACACTAATTTCCACAACGCATGCATCAGCAGAAGGAATTTCATAATTCAAATGCAAATAGTCACATTGATCGGGCGTAGAAAAATGTGTCTAGAGGCAGTTCTCCAGAGGGGGGTTGGGGCATCAACATCCGGCGCAGAGAATGAAAATACCAGACAGGGGGAGGGGCAGACCAACAGATCTCACAGAAACAGCTGGATTCAATGCTTTTTTTGAAATCTATTTAACAGATGGAGCTGATCATGGCACTTTTGTATTAAAATAAGTTTGCTCTTACCTTTAGTGCTATTTATCAATCTAGCAATTTAAGTTAAAGTTGCACAGTGTTATACAGGCTCTCCTGAGATCAATAATACTGCTTGTGGCACTTTGAGCCCAACAAGCAGTTTTTACACAATGCACATCTCATATACATATTCTCCACCTTTCCAGGTAATCATTAAATGGCTTATAATGTTGAGTATTGATACTTGGTTAGCCTGTTTCACCGGGACTGGTAAAGGTTAGACCTTGCTATTTTGGTTGGATCCGTGTCTTAAATCAACTCAGCAGTCGCAGACAGGTCAACAAGTGACCTCGGGGAGAAAAGGAAAGAGATCCCTACTTCTCATATACTCGAGTTCAGGCCAATATGCCCTTCCAAAAGAGGGTGACTCACCATTTATGACTGGTGCATAAACTATGATTCCTGCCAAGTTTGGATCGGATACAGCCTTGTCCAGAATAAGTCCTCCAATACTAAAATAAAGACAGACAAAAACATGCATTCCTCCTTATAAAGTTCTACATTTTGACAAACTAACTAATCATTTACTGAATGTATAACTTTGGGAATCCACAACTAAACAAAGATAGTTAACTAGTCTTCAATATGTATGCATGCTTTCTGAAAGGTCAGTAAAGACTAGGGTCAGTACCTGCTGATGACCATAGCTGTTATGATTGGTTCCCAGCCCGTGCGGAGCAGGAGCTGACTGGCTGGATGTTTGGAGGAGATGACCACCCAAAGAGGAATCAGGCATATAAATAACATATCCACCAGGTACAACACGTAGGGATACAGCTCTGTCAAGACAAAAAACTCATTATCTATACCTGTATTTGCAACAAGGATTCAGTTTTTGTTATGTTCATGATCCTTATGGATGAGTTGGTTCCAGGATCATGAGTAGCCTACCATCTGTTGGCCAACAGTCAAATTACATGACCTCTGATCTATGGGTGTCCAATGTACAGTATTATTCCACAATGTTATGGTGTATGTTAAACAGATTTAAATAGACCACCTTGTTGTCCTTGTTGTTTTTACCTATGAGGGAGAAGAACCACTGACTGAAGCAGGCCAGCAAGGCAAGAGTGATGAGATCTCCAAAACTGGCAGCCATCGGTGTGGCCACGTTATCAGGGTTGATACCCATCCGCATGGAGCCAAGGATCACTCCCACCATAATAATACCTACAGACGGATAAAAACAATGTAAAATCGTAGTTTATGAGGTGACATGGGATCGGTACGGAAGGCATTCATTCTGTGGGAAAAATGTTTTGATTTCAACCTGAATGGAACTAAAAGGGCCCTAAACATTTAATTTTAGTATTATTTATTTTCAATGTTAATTGTTAAGAAAATAAAAGTGATGTAGGGGCAGCAGAGGAAATAATGAGTACCTTGTGTGAATGCAGGCCCCAATTTATAGCTAAACATCTGCATATGTGGCACTGAGCTTGTGAAAATTACCATGTTCTACAATTCAAATTGTTGTTTAATAAAAGGATATTGTGTCCCCAAAAGTTGTACAACTTTTCTAGAATTGTTTTACATTTCTTAGATGCGACTCTCCACACTCTCTCTGTTTATTCTCACATTCTTAGCATAATGTCCATCATGAAAAGCAGCTCTTTTCAAGAAAAATAGTCAATTTCCTGAGATGGTGCAGTTTTTTCAAGCCGCTGGACCAAAACACAGGACACAATGGATTTCATAGGTCAGCACCTGTCATTGTATAATGTATGAATCATTGAGCTGAATTGATTGAGGTCAAGGGTGAAGCAGAGGAGATTTGAACAGATGGATTGTGATGGTGTTTCAATGGTACGGCAGATTGTGTTGTTACCTTGCAGCAATGAAGCAAAGAAGGTGGTAGAAACACTGGCAGAACACAGGAGCATTATGTGATGTAGAGGCATCTGTCCTTCTGCCATCCAGCCCAACACAGTCGCCATCAAAGAGGCTAACAGCCCGAGCACTGTGGCCTGAAGCTGTCAAATGAGGGAGCACGTTAGAAATACCCACAACACTTGTTAGATTGCAATAACATGAGGGAAATAATCAAGTAATGATACAAGGACGTTTTTTGACGGACAAAATAGATACAGTTTATCACAAAGCGGCTGTAGCCGAAAGAAAATAAGGTACCTGCTTCAGCGCCAAGTTCCCCATGATCAACATCCACTTTTCTCTGGTGGACTCCATTTTTCCTGCATTCACCTGAAAATATGAGATGTGGCTGATACATTAAAAACTTGATAGACTCGATTTGCTTATGAAGATCATGGGATATAAATAAACGCTTCAGAAGAGCTACTTAATGGATGGATTTGATTTCTTTGTCAACTGGTTTTTCCAAAGTCAAGAATGAATGGATGAATATTGTTTATAATGTTACAATCAGCTAAAACAACAGAATCAACAACAACTGTGAATAACTTCTACTCCAGTAACATCCAACTTAAACATCTAATTATAAATAGAAATACTATAAACAAATACATTGTTAGATTCTTTGTGAACAATGAAAAAGAACGCTTTTGGGCTTTGCTTAATCGACTATATCTATTACGAGTACATATGGCCCGTATTCAACAAAAGCATAAAAACGGATAAAAGACTGAGAAAATAAATATATAATTAAATTGCACAAGCAATTATACATTTCAACAGAAAATCAAACTATACAGGGATTATTTGTTAACATACATTGAGAATAACTTCAATGAAACACGAAGGCCAACCTGTTACTATTCTGTCATTACTTTTCAACATCCCTCCGCTAAGTGGTTCCTACTAAAGATGGACATGTTTAAAAGCTGCTGTTTTTATAAAATGAAACAGCAACCAGAGTAAAAAGTGTCTTTCTTGAGACTATTTTCACCTACAAAGGTTTCCAAACTTAAGGCACTTAAAAGCATCAACGTCACAAGAACGGAATTGAATAAAAACATCCTATTTTTATCCCAATGAATGAAAGTCTTATCCTGTGCAACAGTGTTGTTCATCAATGTGTTTAATTTTTTTCGAAAGTAATGGAGCCATATTACACAGCTGTTAAAAACAAACATTATTTGATCATCATATTCTTTCCCTTCCAAGAAAACATATTTTCAGTTTATGTTTAGGTTGGACTATTGTTATTATCAACTTGTCCTGCGGGACATTGTGCGAGTTGATGTGCTGCTGTGGTCTTCACAGCTCTGTGAGGAGTTTCACACGAGGAGAGAAAATCCATGGTGCAAGAGACAAAAATATAATTCTGAGAAAGAGGTCTAATTTACCCTGTTCTACATATATGTTGTTTACCTCCAACGCTGTTGCTAATTTCTTTACATTTCTTATTTTTTATTGCATTGGTTTTTGGTATTTAATAGTGTATGTAATGTTCTAAATCTCGTTGTTTATTAGTAATTATATATCAAATAAAGAATATAGACACAAAAAAGTCCCTTTTTGTGTACATCATGGTAAAGCATAGGAATGGATTCAATTACAGTGTGTGTGTGTGTGTGTGTGTGTGTGTGTGTGTGTGTGTGTGTGTGTGTGTGTGTGTGTGTGTGTGTGTGTGTGTGTGTGTGTGTGTGTGTGTGTGTGTGTGTGTGTGTGTGTGTGTGTGTTAAAATTCACACTTACAGCAGTGGAGAGTCTCGAGGCTAAAGTCATTTCCAGGTTACCCTTCATGCCTAACACTGCAGGGACCAGGATAAAAAGTTCTGTGATTTCCTGGAACACGTCCCAGCTCTGCCATGAAAACAAACGCAATATGGATGAACCAATAACAACACCACAAACACACAATAAATCATCTTCATTTTCACCTAGGATAATAAAAGACGTAAAAATTAAATTAAAATGTTCTGGCAAAATTAGAATGTGTTCTTTATACAATCTCTACAATTTAGCTTCCACATTTTGTAAAGCCAAGCAATTATGACCTCTTTTAACTGTAAATCACATCTCCTTTACTTTGTTTACCCACCTGCACCACTTCAAGCAGCATCCCAGCACAGATAGTCCCGAGCCCGGCCAGCAGAAAAGGCACCAGGATCTGAAGCAGCATGGAGCGGAGGGACTCAGCAGGTGGAACGGAGTCACCCGTATCCTTTGCACTCGTGGATCTACTGAGCGTTGATCTACCGTAGAGTTGACTCGGGAGCAGAAAGTCTGTCTCAGTGTACTCTGGATCATGATGGATACTTGGGCTGATTGTTGAAATACTCCCATTAGAGATAAAACGTTGTGGACTTCCAGAGTGTTGAGATGCAGATGGGTAGGATCCGTACTGTGGGATGGTGCCTATGCCCACAGAGCCGTTTGGGGACAGTTTGTCATTGTGTGACTCAGGGACAACCATGGTGTAAAGCTGGTAGGATGCTTGCTACTCCTGAGGCTTCTGCAAACTGAGAAACAGTGGCACCAACACTGGTCAGAGCGGTCCTAAAAGGATAAGAGAAACACCAAAAGTAAGAAGAAATAAAACAGCAAGAAAAAACTGGCTCAAAAGCTGTATAAGTTGATTCAGAAGCTCAGCATTTAGTTATAAAGTTGTGTACCACACATTTAATTTCCATGAAAAATCAAGTGTGCAACTTTGGCATGTGGAAAGCTTGGCTGTGTCACTGTGTCAGGGTCATCTGATGGCACAGATTGCTGCATTATCATTCTTCATGCCTGTTCTCATCGGCAACACTGAGGCAGCATTGTTTGGGAGGACAAAGCTCTAGATTTGGAATTCCTAAGAGATGACCAGGTACTAAGCAACTGAGGTTATCGAATTGAGAGCGAGAAAATATCCAAAATATGTAACTGTCAATCATTTTCCTATCAACAAACCTGCTTCAACTGTTTATCACAATGCATCAACGTTACCCTGAACAAAACGTTTTATCCTAAAAACATTACAACCTTTTTAGATAAATCTTATTAAAAATGACTGCTAAAGAAGTAAAGAAACCAACATTATGATTGAGAAACATCATTGTGTCATGTTATATATTCATGGTCAACTTGACCATCAACAATGGCTAGAAAAGGTAACAAGAACCTAACTATTATGAACCAAGACCATATTTTCATCCTTTGAGGCTAAGATATAATGCGCCGGTGAAAGATGGCCGCATTGTCTTTTGGCTCCTCTCCAACTTTGCCCTTTTTCGTATTTTGTTTGTGTTTATTTACTTTTTGCCGTTTGCTTTTAACATGGTTCACTATATGTTTCTGTTTATCTGTGTTATTGTGTTGCACTGTTGGAGAAGCCTGTGACCTAAGATTTTCATCGGCATAACTACACTGTAGCTATGTTCGTATGACAAAATAAAGAACCTTGAACCTTAAGCAGCCTAAGTTATCTGAAAGGAATATTGTGCTCATAAATCTGCAGATTCACGAGGGAATCTCAATGAATGGTGCATCAAACAAACTGTATGAAAGGATTTCTACAGTCAAGCTAATCATCTTCCAGATCACAATCAAAGGTTTAAGTACAAAATAAGTAGCCTACTAGGAATAAAAAAAGTTTCAATTTGTATACCAAATCAATTTTTAATGCTGAGTTTATTTTGGTGTGTATGTGGTCCTTTAGCATATCTGCTAATCACACATACTTCTACAATCAATGTGTCAATATGTGTTTTTATATATTTCAATTCGATAGTATGAACAAAATGTAGAAAATAGTTAGATAAATAAACGAATAAATGAAACAAAAAAGGGCCTTACCCTTATTTTTGAACCATACGAGGAGAAGAGTTCTCTCACTGCACTGCTAACCGTGACTCTTCCTTGTCGACTCTGTCATCCACTAAATAGTAGCTGAGTCTTCAGTGTGACTTTAGCCCAACTCCCCCTTCTCAATCACACATACACACACTGCATATCTCTCTGTAACCCCCATCTAACATTTTCAGTAGGCATATTCAAATACGTTGACAGTGACAGGCAGCAGGATACACACATATTTAACAGTTATTTGTTAGGAGCTGTCCAATATTGGCCTGCTGTGACCATGTAATTGTTATGTTGTTTTATCACATGGAGTGTTTATTTGACCCTTGACATACAGGGTCTATCTATCTATCTATCTATATATCTATCTATCTATCTATCTATCTATCTATCTATCTATCTATCTATCTATCTATCTTTCTGTCTATTTGTCTGTCTGTACGTCTGTCTGTCTGTCGAGTGACATGTCTGCTGGACTCCATTTCCCATGAGCACTAGCAACCATTCACAAAATCATGAGACCCATCATGGGACCGTGTAGCAACACTCTTTAACAGCAGTGTTTTGGGTAACCGAGTTTTGCATTATGGCAGTAGAAACCATCGCCACTGAATGGGAATTTGACCGTTTTGACGACGGTTCACAAAGTAAGTAAAGTCCTGTATAAATAGCAACGTGCTAAACTTAACTAGCCTCCAGTGCTAGCTTACGCTGCTAGCTATACGCTTAGCCACTGGGCTCCGTCTATTTGCTGGCACGGAACAACTCCTACTGTCAATTGCAAACAAATGCTCGTAAAATGGAAACCTTCTGAAATTATTTCACTATATTTGTTATACTTGAACGCGTAGTCTGCTGGTTGCAGTTGATATGTAGAAGTAAATGTGTACAATTAAGTAAAAGCAAAGTTATTTAACGTTATTCACGGCTATCAGTCACATAGCTAACAGCTGATCAGTCTGACAGCCTAATGACACTTGGGTAGTTTTGACAGTGGCTCATAGTAAACACTGCAAAAATAGTGGACACTAACTTCCTCCTAGAAAACAAAATGGACAATGGTAGGGTTTTATTTATTTGTGTGTAAGGTGTCCTGCGGTTATTATGCAGTGCCCCCCACAGATAGGAAATTGTTTTGGATAGGATTGTGCATCTATTTCTCGAATGAGACTTTTACGTTCACATTTGAGCAAGCATTAATGGACATTTACCCTAATCTAGCTGTAACAACATTGGTGTTTAAATCACAGTGAATAGCCTGCTGCACTTGTGTACTTGATCAAACCCTCCACCCTACAGAAATACACACAGAGGTTCAACTCAAGAACTACAGCAAGTTTCTGGAGGACTACACCTCCCAGCTGAGGGGTATTGAGGAAGCTCTGGATGACTCCATAGGAGATGTGTGGGATTTCACTCTGGACCCCATCGCCCTGAAGGTAAAACATCAAACACTAGTACTTGTACATCAACCTGAAAACACTGACATTGTGCTTTCTCAATTCACACACATCTTACTTCCCTATATGTTCTACTCTCTTTTAGCTTCTCCCGTACGAGCAATCATCTTTATTGGAGTTAATTAAAACAGACAACAAGGTAAATAGAAACACACATAATCTTTAGTTTTCTAGACACTTATCTACACAATTGTACTTGTTTAGATATGGCTAATATTGCTTCCATTGTGTGCAGGTTCTGAACAAAGTCATCACAGTATATGCTGCTCTCTGTAGTGAAGTAAAGAAGCTCAAGTATGAGGTAACCCTGCTCAGAACACTTCACTCTGTGCTATTGTGGAATTAGTTTAGTTTGTGTCTGTCTGCTATTGGTTGAAGGTCCCATTATGTAAACAATGAACGCTTATGTCTTTTGATTTCAAAGCAGACCCTACATTCATATTGTGAAAGTAACAAGTTTTACACATCTCATATTAAGAAACAGTTTTTGAAATGAGAAGTTTTGATCTCACAACTATACAACACATGGGTAAAAAGTGGCAATGAAGATGGTGTGTGCACAGATACACTGACACTCAATTAGAGCAGACTGGAACGTTGTTGCAACTTAAAATCTGTTTATTTCTAAAGGCAATATTGAGGCTGTTGAGTGAACCGACAGCATTTCAAAAAAGTTACAAGAGAGCAAGAATAAACAGTTACAGGTTGTAAAACACCTTTTGGGCCGGGGGATTTACGCAAGAGGGTGACCTGATGGCACCAGGTCAATCTGTTTTGTTCCCCCTTCTCCTCCTGCAGTGTCATAAAACACTTCAACCTAAACACCTCAGGATACCATTTGTTAAAAGTAACATTTCAAAGTTAATGATTACTTTATTAAAACAGTAATACCACAATCTCCATATCAGAATACAGCTACATTCAGACAGAAAGTATGAGAAACCTAATTTAAATGTAATTAGTTTCTTGAACATTAACGCGTAATGTAAACATGTGATTGGAGAAACCCAAAACGTCTTTACTTGAAAATGAGTACTATACCTATTTTTAAAGTCTATCATAAATAAAGAATCATAGCATTGTTTGCATCCATGTTCACTATCTTGCGTATTACTGCATATCTTGGCGTGTGAAGGCTACTTGCTGATTAGTGGAATAGTGTGACACCAATGGCAGGATTGTGTATCACATCACTGCTTGTGTATGTCATAAACAAAACAGTGACCCAGTCATAGAGGTCTAAATACATCTTTTCAAACTGTTGTTGAAATCCCTTGTCTGTGCTGTGAGATACAAATTCTGATTCTGTGGCCTTCATTTATTTCCCCCTGCAGGCAGAAACCAAGTTCTACAATGGCTTATTGTACTATGGAGAGGGAGGTAATGTCAGCAATTAATATCTACTTTTACACTAGCTGTAATCTAAGTGTTTCTCAGTCATTGTTGATTAAATGATTATAAAACGTATACATTATGTTGTGTTACAGTGTCTGATACCAGCGTTGTTGAAGGAGAGTCCCAGATACAGATGGGCAGATTTATCTCATTCCTTCAGGTAGATAATGGATCATTTATGTCGTCACTTGTATTTGATTGAAATCCAGAAACACTGATAGTTGTTTGCTTTGTCCATTGGTAGGAACTTTCCTGTTTTGTGACAAGATGTTATGAAGTGGTGGTCAACATTGTTCATCAGCTGGCTGCCCTCTACAACAGCAACAAGTAAGATCCTTCAACTGTAGCAAGTATTCACAGTCAACATGCTGTTCTTGTTGAAATGGCTCGAGTACCCACGTCGTCAAAAGAGCCTTTGTGCACTTCACATGCAGCAGAGAAACAAACAACAAACAGAATGCGTTGTTGTGCTTATTGCATCTTTGGCTCTGTTACAATGTCAAACAAATGATACAAAGCATGTCTCTCATATTTCAGGGGTGCAACAAAAGTCATTGAGTCATCAGGTGTCCATTTTCAGGTGGGTTTAAGATTTTTGAAACAAACTCTCCATCTCTGTATCTCAATCTCTAAATATTTGTAGCATGTCTGTTTGATGTTCCCTCTGCAGACGGTGTACGAACACCTCGGGGAGTTATTAGTGGTTCTGCTCACACTCGATGAGATCATGGAGAATCACGGCACACTAAAAGATCACTGGAAGATGTATAAAAGGTAAACACACACAGTTATGGCAACCAATAAGAAAGGCCCTGAAATTCCCAATATTCCATTTCAAAATTTGAATGTATCTGGATGACCACTAAGGACAGCTCTCAGTGGCTTTAGTTAAGTTGTTGTTTTCAATCTCACTTAAATATACTTGCATTGATTTGATCTAAGACACATTAACATTTATGATACCTGGTCTTTAAACCAGAAATGAGTGTATGTGTATGATAAACGTTTACATACTTGTGTTTAATGTATGATTTAGGATGAAGCCCTCTGTAATTACATCCTCCTGTTGGTTGTAGGTTGTTGAAATCTGTGCACCATAACCCTGGGAAATTTTCCATTCCTGAAGAGAAACTGAAACCATTCGAGAAGCTGCTGCTCAAGCTCGAGGGACAGATGCTGGATGGCATGATACTGCAGGTGACTCCACTGTTTCAGGCCTTGATTATGATGTAGAATTCATTGTCTTAGTTTGAGGACTTTGCTGAAAAGTTGGTGGTTCCAAGTTTGTGCTCATATGCAAATTCCATTGTGAGCATAGATCATTTTAAGTCTAATATTGTGTTGAGGTCCTCTGAGGGGTGTTGAAAACATGGTTTTTGCTACTGTCTGACAGGCCTGTGTGGAGCAGAGATTCGACGATCCGGGGGAAGGAGTATCTGTTGCCAAAAACAGTGCCTTTGCAGAGGAGTTTGCCCTCAACATCCGCACCATATTCACCAATATTGAGTCCAAAATTGGTCAGTTTCTCTTCTCAGGATGAACTGGTTTGTGCTTTCCTGCAGCTTCCAGTGTTTTATGTCTGTGTGCCTTTGTTGTTTTCAGGGGAACCTTCAGAGATTGACCAGAGGGATAAGTATGCAGGTGTCTGTGGCCTCTTTGTGCTTCACTTTCACATCTTCAGGAGTGTCGACAAAAAGTTCTACAAGGCGCTGCTGGATGTTTGTAAAAAGGTAGTTATGGGTTCTTGCCTTTGTTCTCTATCTGACTGCCTCATCTTCTTCTGTTTATTTATTTTAAAAATATCTCATTAATGTGTGTGTGTGTTTCTCTTCCTCTAGGTTCCAGCTGTCACTCTTACTGCTAACATCATCTGGTTTCCCGACACTTTCCTCATCGCTAAAGTCCCAGCTGCAGCTAAGCTGATGGATAAGAAGAGTCTACAGGCCATCAGAGCGCAGAGAGACGCCTACCTGCAGCAAAGAGCTGTGACACTAACAAAGTTAGTTGCAACAACTAAAAAGTGTTTCTTTTTTGTTTTTTTCAATTTTTTCTATTTGTAGAATCTGATTGTTACTGTTGTCTCTTCTCTTCAGGGATGTTCAGTCCTACTACGTGTTTGTAACTTCCTGGATGATGAAGATGGAGTCCATCATATCCAAGGAGCATAAAAGTGACAAGTTGGCAGAAGACCTGAACAGCAGGTGCAATGTGTTTGT